CTCCACTGTGCTGTTCCTCTATCTTCTGTCCCAGGACCACTGGAGGCATCTCTGTGCCAGGGAGACTACCCAGCAACCACAGTGGGCCCCATTTCTGTCTCTCCAGCCCTGAGCCAGCCATCTCTGCTGGCTCTTCTCAGCTCTGCGGCTGCAGTGATCCTCTTTTAAGCTCAGGCAGGCTGTGTTTTCTACTGAGGTTCAAGGAATCACTCTTCCGATTTTGTGGCCCCAAACTTTCCTGCCACCGCTTGCTTCCAGCATTGCAGAGGCTTGTGCACAGTGACTCTGTCCACTTTCTACCTTAAACCCTCCCAAGCCCAGGGCCACTCCTCTGGAAGCAGGATTTGCCGGCTCCCCAGGCCTAGGCAGTTTCTTTGGGTCAAGTTGCTCATTTCAGTGAGCTAAGATCCCATGGGTTTTAAAGCACAGGCTGTGCAGTGTGCCAGTAGGAGCGGGCACAGGAAGCTATGCCGGCATTGCTGGCGAGATGGGGTTCCAAGACTGCAGTATAGATAAGGAGCGTCCTCCCAGCCTCATCTTTGGCTGATGAGTCCCCCGCTATGCTTTGACAGCACTGGCTTCAGCCAGGATGCTCCAGGGAGGAGGTCACTGCAAGGAGGAGGCTTCCCATGTGGTCCTTGGGTACCGAGTTTGTGATGTTGTTCAAAAAACAATTTTAGGACACATCAAGGAAGAGACCAAGAAAACTCATTATTAGTAAAGCAAAGAAAATATAGAAACAGTACATAGCCCAGACGTGGTGCAGGCACATCTGGTAACAGGTAGGAGCAGTACTCTAATTTCATAGGTATTTATGGCGAAGTTGTTTGGGGTTTGGCTCAAATTCACCTCAGGAAAAGTGCTCCTTTTTGCTCTGACGTCTGGCATATTTAATCATTCTTGCTGTTACACTGTTTGTCAATTGGCCCAAAGATTTCAAGGTTGGCTCACTTACTAAACTTAGGTCATTATGACATACATATTTGAACACCCATTTAAAAAAAGAACGGGGAGTTGGTGGAGTGGCTCAAGTGGTAGAGTGCCTGCATAGCAAGTGTGAGGCCCTGAGTTCAAACCCCAGTGCCACCAAAAAAAAAAAGAGAGAGTGCCAAGACGTGTTGTGTAGATGAGAAGCACGTATGCAAATGGCTGGAAAAAGTTTAGAAAGTGTTCCACAGCAGTGCTGTGCTGTGCCCCTCCCGGTGTTGTGCACACGCTTTCAGTAAACTTGCACGGAGCCCTCGGGGAGCCTGGCACTGGCAGTGGAGAAGGGGACAAAGACAAGACTCCTGCCCTGGGGAGTTTGTTTTCTAATGGCAAGCAGAGAAAATGAACACGTGTAGGAGAAATAGCTGCAGTGTGTGCTGGCGAAGGCTGGGAAACAGCCCAGGAGAGCTGGGGCCAACCTGCTGCATTCACAGAGTCCTGTGGTGTGCACCCTCCCACCATGGCCTCAGCCCATGCAAGGTCTTGACCGCAGAGCTGGAGGAGGGGCACAGGGCTCATCCCTGGAGGTCACATGGTGATAACAGAAGGAAAAGAAAAATGGATGAAAACTTGTCAATTGGCAGACAGGGGAGGGCTCACTAAGAAAATGTCATTTTTAAGGAGGGCATGGAGGCACAGACCTGTAATCTCAGCTTTCAGGAGACTGAGGCTGGAGGACCACTTGAACTCAGGAATGCAAGGCCAACCTGGGCAACATAGCAAGACTGCATCTCAAAACCAAAGCTAAACAAAACAAAAACAGGGCTGGAGAGGCAGAGCACTTGCCTAGCAAGTGAGGAGAAAAGGAGAAAAAGCAACATCAACAGAACCATAAAGCACCATTCTTTTTTTTTTGTGTAATGGGATTTGAACTCAGGGCCTCTCACTTGCTAGGCAGGTGCTCTACCACTTGAGCCACACACCAGCCCTGTTTTGTGTTAGGCGTTTTCAAGATGGGGTTTCATGAACTATTTTGCCTGGGCTGGCTTTAAATCACAATCCTCCGAGTAGCTGGGATTATAGAAGTGAGCCACCAGTGCACAGCCATAAAGCATTATTTGATGGTACAACAGCTTTGGAAAAAAGTAGATTGGTTCCTCAGAGTCAAGTAGAGCACCAGAGGTGTTGGGGTGCACCTGTAATCCCAGCACTAGTGAGGCTGAGACAGGAGATGGAGATTAGGAGGATCACAGATCAAGGCCAGCCCAGGCAAAAAGTTCTCAAGACCCCAAGACCCCATCTCAACCATCTCAACCTGAAAAGCTGACTGTGGTGGTGCAGATTGACTTGTTCTGTTTTTCTAAGAGCTAGAGGTGCATCATTAAGCTTTTTATTTAAAATCTCTTTTATGTAGGTGCTCGTAACTATAGACTTCTCACACTGCCCTTGCTGTACCCCAAAGGTTCTGGTAAGTTCTGTTTTCATTTCCACGAACTCATAGGATTTATTTCCAACCTATTTCTTCGCTGACCTGTTGGTTGTTCAACAATGTGCTGCTTTGTCTCCATGTTTATGTTTTCTGAAATTTCTTTTGTTGAATTCTAGTTTTATTACATTGTGAGGTCATTTCATTTTTAAAATATTTAAGACATGCCGCATGTCCTAAATTCATCTATTTTGGAGAATGTTCTGTGGGCTTCTGGGAATGGGCATTGTGTAGCTGCTGGATTATTCTATAGATGTCTGTTAAGTCCATTTGATGTACAGTGCTGCTTAATTCTGAAGTTTCATTGTTCATTTTTTGCCTGGGTTACCTGTTTGTGAGTAGGTGTTGAAGTCTACCACTGTTACTGTCTTGAGGTGTATCTGTGCTTGTGAGCCCAAGTAGTGTTTAATGAAGTTGGGTTTGCCAATGTTTGGTGTGTAATTGTTGTCGCCTCTTGATGGATTGTTCCCTTCGTTAATACGAAATGACTTTTTTGTGGCACCAAGGTTTGAACTCAGGGCTTCGTGCTTACTAGGCAGGCACTCTACCACTTGAACCATGTCTCCAGCCCAGAAGTGACCTTCTTTGTCTCTAATTAATTTTGGTTTGAAACCCCATTTTATCAGATATGAACATAACTATTCTTTCCTGCTTCCAGGGTCTTATACTCATTTATTGTCAAGGTTATAGACTGTTGAGAAATGGACCTCTGAGCCTCCACCCAACTCTAAGCTGCTGTGATCTATTTTGTATGACAGCTTGGGATTGAAAAGTGAGACCTGGAAAGCACTATCTGGAAGAGTCCTTTTGCACTGTGTCCTTGGCACCCCCAGTGCTGTGCATTAGTCACCCTGTGATATGGTTGCTGCCATCACCTTCACAACCAAATAGCACCCAACACTTCTGGCAGCTACCACTCTTTCCAAGGCTGTCACTCCACAGCTGATGTGGCCAGGGCCCAGCATTGTTTAGTTTTTGATATTACAACCATGCATGCAGTTGTGCAGTAGCATCAGTCTGCAGAGCAGGGATGAAGTATCAGAGAAACATACCTACCATTTTGGCAGGCAGGAGTGACACCATCTGCCCTAACACCAACAGGTGAGCATGACTTCCCCACAGCCTCAGCAGTGTCTGGAATCTACTGATGTGGCAGATTGTGTCAGTATCATCTTCATCTGCATTCTCTCCTGAGTGAAGGTGAACAATTTTCATTGCTTAAGGGTGTATTTCTTTTTCTGGGAACAAATTTCTAGAAGTTACTTATGTATTGGAGAAATCCATCCTTTGTGACGAGTTGCAAATTCTTTTCCTAGTTTGTTTTGGTTCATGGCTTTCAAAATCTTTGTGTGTTCCTTTGCATTTATGTGTAGTGTTTTTGTTTCACAGACTGAGTCATAAGTCAAAAAGCCTTTGCCCATTTCCTGAGTTACTGACCTTAAAATATATTAACCTTCTGAATATTTGGGTTTAAAGAACAGAGCTTTGTAAATCTGGGCTAGAGGAAGCAATCCACTGTCTGCTTCCTGGTTCACTGTCACATTTGTATAACAATCAGCAAAACTCAGACTAAGACAACAGGACAATGGTCTGGGTTCTTTCACAGATAAACTTTAAGGAAAACAATGAAATGAAGGGGGCTGCAAATTAAAAGACATAAGAAATACCAAGTTAAATCAATATAAACAAATAAGACTAAACTGCAATCCAGAAGTGCAAGAACGTGCCTAGGATGGCGGGGCACACCTGACATCCCATATAAGAGGCTGAGGCAGGAGGATTGCAAGTGTGAGGCTAGACTAGACTACATATCAAGACTCTGTCTCAAAGGAAAAAAAAATGAAAAGCATGGAAGTCATTTCTACAAAAGTGAGGATTACATTTGAAGGGAGAAAAGGAAGGAGGGCTATGTTTGGAGAGACCCTTGGAGAGCCTTCTGGAATATCCAAGTACTAGTCCTTACCAGAGTGGTAGATATAAGGACATTCACTTCGTAATAATAATTCAATAAGCAATACATTTGTTTTGTGTCATTTCCTGTATGTTTTTATTTTATGGTAAAAAAAAATCACTTAAAAATAAGCAATCTTGTCAAACATTTGTTTTAAACTTCCACAGTACTTTTAAGAAAAAGAGATAAGAAAAGTTTTTATAAGATTTATTTATACATCTTGGTTCCTCTGGAGTGGTCTTGGAGCCAAGGTCGTCTACATGCAGGCTTTGCCCCACAGGAACACTGAGCACATGAGCTGGGACTCGGCTTGCAGTCTTCCTGTGAGCCTCGTCCCTGGCTGGACTGTACCTTTTCTGATGTGTAAGTCAGCTGCAAAGGCAGGAGACTTAAGACTGCAAACTGGGAAGCAGATGAACACTTTCAGAATACTTCTAGACCTCTTATCTGAATCTTCAACCAATGTTTTATTGATTCCTTATAAAAATCTAAGCCAACTATTTGGTGCTAGACTGCAGTAACATGAAAAGAGTGTCAAGCCCAATAAGCATAAAGCTGAAATCTCAGAGAGTTGTCAGATCGCAAAGATGTTTGCTTTCTGATACTTTTAAGCACTTTTTATATCAAAGCTTATCACAGGACACACCATGTCTTCCTGGCTTGTGACAGACAGCTGCGCCCACCATCTACTGCAGTGGCCTGTGCCGTGGTCTTACTGTCAACACCAGGGTGCAGAAGTAGCAGTACTGGCTTGGGTTTCCCCAGGGCTCAGTGACTTTGCTCAGTCTTCAGATTGCTTTGCTCCTTCTCTTGCCAATCTGTCAGCTTCTTCATTGCCCACAAATCCTGAATGACCAGGAATGTGCATCTGTTAAAATAAAAATTTTTACATGACTACAAACTCACTTTTAAGAAGCTTGAGCATGCAGAGCACAGTGAATATGCCAAGGCTTGCCTTCACAGCTCCCCTTCTCTGACACAATTCCGAACAGCACAATATACATTCTTTTTCTTTTATTTAAAGACAGGGTCTTGCTATGTTGTCCAGGTTGACCTTGAACTCCTGGGCTCAAATGATCCTCCTGCCTCAGCCTCCTGAGTAGGTGTATCTACAGTTATATGCCACTGTGCCTGGTGTCAATGCATTTATGCAATGGACATATGGAAAAAAGTCCATTTTGTTCTTTACAAATTAGATTTTCCTGTTCATAGTGGTTTTCTTCCCACTTAGCAATGGAACTTGGCAAGCTCACAGGCAAACCACATGCAGATACAGATGGATGATGTCTATGCATGCGACACACACACACACACACACACTATTCTCTTTCAAGGCTCTTAAGATTCAACACTTATTGGAGTAAACCATAGTTTATACACCAACTGCCATTGGTGACTCTGAAGAGGCAGAACAAGGCAGGGTTGATATAATGAGTGCAAGTGTAACTTCCTCTGTATTGTTTGGATATAAAAACTTTTTAAATTAAAAACTATATAGTATATGAAAAAAAAACCCATATCACATAACTTTATTTGCTTTTTTTTTTTTTTTGGTGGGACTGGGGTTTGACCTCAGGGCTTCACACTTGCAAAGCAGCAGGTGCTCTACTGCTTGAGCCACACCTCCAGTCCCAACTTTACTAGTTTTAAACAAAATACATCGTGGCATGCCTGGGACAGACGTCACTATGCACAATGAACAAGTGTAAGGATGCAAACAGCCCCCAAATCACACTGCCAACATATGCTATAGGCAGTAAAGTTCTTGTTAAAACAGTCCTATGCATGAGGACTAAAAAAAAAAAATCAAGTATGTTTAATATACATATGACACTAACTTCATGGAAGAGTTTAACCTACATCACTAGATCCACTATGCTCTAGCTAATCTAGAGCACTTGTCACAGTAGCCATGGACACGAACACTGAAGCACACACTCACCCACTGGATGTCCATGCCCTGGGTGAGCTTCTCTAGCTCCACGAAGTCCTCCTTGTTGATCACCTCTTTTCCTGTACTTGTTCTCCACCCATTCTTCTTCCAGCCTTGAACCCAGTTAGTTATGCCTAGAAGAACACACACTCACTGCTCATCCACTGCAGGTTCCGGCCGTTCCTGCCTCATGAGCACCAACTCCTGCTCTGCTCCCATACTGCTCTGAGTCTCTGGCCTAGAATCTTCACTTCCTCGCTGTGAATCACTGGCTTAGTTCTTTAGCACACACCTGAAACACCCTGTCTCCTCCCTTTGCGCTAACTGCACCAGCCTACAGCTATCAGCTTGTCACTTCCTCTAGGTAGCCTTCACCAGCTCTTAAGCATCCCCTAAAGAAGTCACTACCCACGACCCTCAGTCATTATCTGCATATGGACTCCATTTGCTACCAGAGGACAGCTGCACCCACCTCATGACAGCAGAATTAGGACTCCAAAATCCTCACCCTTTCCTCCATACATTACAAACCAAATGACATCCCCAGTACCATCTGTGTCCTGCCCTGTTGCAGTCCCCCTGCCAGGGAAAGAAATGCCTGTTTCCCATCACACTAACTAAAAATCACTACAAGAAATAAAAGAAATTAGGAAGGCTTACCATTTATGGTAAACATGCTGTCTGTATACAGAACCAATTTACTGATGTTCTGAGTCTTTGCTTGTTCAATGGCTTTGCAGGCTGCCTTGAAAAAACAAGTCACAGTCACATCACATAGAAATGTTCAACTTTTTACATTATTAACAGTCAACGACTTCAAAACAAACATTTCTTCTTTTCGTACTGTGGTAATTATATCCTCTGTGTGAAATAACACTAAACATGAAATTCTCCTGTTGGCACCTACTTAGAATAAGTTCTGAGGATCTTTCTAGAAAACTCCTATCTTTCAGAATTATTACTAATTCCAAAGTTTCTCTTGGACTTTGACTATTTCCTATACATAGACAGTAACATACAGGGAAAAAAGCTGATATGCTCATAGTTGATGCTGAGGAACAGTAGACACATGTATCTAGAACTTACATGGATTTCTGCTCTTTGGTTGTCTGTCGCCCAGGAAGTCTAATGCCTACATTTCTGTTTCAAAATAGCACAAAAGGAAAAAAAAAAAATGTTATTCTTCTCAATGGATGAAACAAATTAGTGCATTTTTATAAAACTTTCATATAAAGACACAGCCTTTAAAAATCAAAAACAGCAATACTAAGATTCTATTGAAAAATAGCCTCTAAGTTTCCTTTTCTTTTTTTGGGATAGATTTCGCTACATAGCTCAGGCTGGCTGTGAGCCTCACAAGTGCTGGGATTACGGGCCTGTGTCAACATGGCTGGTCAAAGATTACTTTCATTTCTGGTCCTAAAAAGCATGTTGTCTTGGGCAAGCCCTAAATCCAGACACTAGTGCAAACCCTTTAGGGTTTGGAGGTTAAAATGAGATGTTTAAGGAAAAACAGCTGTGGCTCAGTGGCACCGCACTTTCCCAGCATGCATGAGGCCCTAGGTTGGAACCCCAGCATAGCAACAACAAAGAGCACTTGCTAACAACAATAGTACAAAAAGAAAAAAAAAAAAGCATTTGCTGGATGTGTGCTGCATGTCTGTAATCCCAGCTTCGGGCTGAGGCAGGAGGATCACCAGTTTGAGGTCAACTTGGGCTACATGGTGAGATCCTGTCTCAAAGAAAGACCTTGACAAACTGTACACCTCCATAGGAATGTAAAGTGGAAGCTAGGCACCAGTGGCTCATGGCTGTAATCCTAGCTATTCTGGAGGCAGAGATCAGGAGGATTGAGGTTCGGAAGTTTGTGAGACCCTATCCAAAAAAAACTATTACAAAAAAGGGCTAGTGGAATGGCTCAAGGTGTTGATCCTAAGTTCAAACTCCAGTACCAAAAAAAAAAAAAAAAAAAATTAGCGCTGGGGAGCAATGCTGAGGCTCAGCATTTGACATTCCAAAGGACGAGGCTATTCAGTGCCAACACAACCAAAGATCTGCCAAGCTGTTTGTCAGGTTTTCCAAATACTGAATCAAGCTGAGGGTGTGACTCAAGTGGTAGAGCGCCTGCCTAGCAAGCATGAGGCCCTCAGTTAAAAAAAAAAAAAAAAAACCCAGTATCTCAAAAAAACTCAAAATAATAAGCAGATCTTGCCTCTGCTTTGGAATATGATTTGGTAAAATTTGATGCTTAAACAACTTAGCTTTGTTTACTTACAAAGGGTGGCCAGGCCCCCAGTAGACACCAATTCCTGCACGTGCTCTCCTGCGCCCGTTACTGGAACAGCAGCCATCAGTGTAGACGACCACATAGTCTCCTATGAGAGAAATAGTAAGTGCTGCTGAACTGACAATACTTAAGTCTGAAACTCACTTCAGATGTTACCAATTACCACTTTAAACCCAGAGGGACTTTACAGTGCTAAGCTTCCATGTAGGAACTCGTCAGGAATCCCCACAGGGAATGGGCACTTTCTGCTCAGTCCTACATGCCAAGCAACTTCAAGGTGAAGGTAATCACCTTGCAAAACTGCCAGTGCTGCAGCGAGACCTGTTCTTACATCTCAGGGGAACAAGATGCTGTCCCTCTCTGCGTCAGGTCACCTTTACTTTCAGTAAGGTCCTTCCAGAGAAAGCAGTGCCTTGGCATGACTGTGACCCCCAACAGAATCAAGGCCTCTGACATACACTGATCTGTTGTTCTCAGAACATTTGCCATTAATGAAGTGTGGGTCTACTAAAGCTGCAAAGAGCAGGCAGAAATGAGACTCGAGGCTGCTCTCAGGCTCCTGTGGCCAGCAGCACTTTCTCAGCACAGGCCACAAGTGCGTGAGTGCTTGTGCTAAGGCCTTCCTTATTTAGAGCTGAAGTCTCCACATTTTTTTCCTACCCTCAGAAACTCCAAGTACCACATGCAGGGGGAATATTTGTGTTTCAAAATATTAAAATGTTTCCTTAGAACATTCAAAAGTGCTGAGCACCAGTGGCTCAGCCTGTAATCCTAGCTACTTAAAAGACAGAGATCAGAAGGATCGAGGTTCGAAGCCAGCACAGGCAAAATAGTTCGGGAGACCCTATCCCGAAAGACCCCATCACATAAAAGGGTTGGTGGAGTGGCTCAAATTGTAGGCCCTGCGTTCAAACCCCAGTACTACAAAATAAAAAAAATAAAATAAAAAAAAAATGAGAACATTCAAAAGCTCAATTAACTTTGTACCATTTGATATCTGACTAATTATATAATAGTGCTCTTAAAGAGATTTCTAAAAAAACCTTTACAGAAAAGAATGGGGGTAAAGATCCGTTTAAATTTCTTCCATTTACAAGTGGAAAAGGTTCTTACATTGGTATGTTTCCTAAGTGTTACATTAAAATTTTCAACCCAAGAAAGACACACCCATATAAGAAAAAGTGTCCTTGTTAGCTGGAGGAGTTAATTCTGTGTGCTGTCTTGTCTGCTTTGCACATGGCTCTTTATTTTCATCTTCACCTTCATCCAAAGGTTCCCGGAATCTCTTGCTGGCTTTCACCTGTGATTCTGGTACACACGTATTTTTCTGCCCTGAAAGACATAGTCTATCATGAGCCAGCATCATGGAGCATAACATAAAATGCTTAAGAATCAAGAATTCTGAGACTGGGGGCATGGCTCAAGTGGCAGAGCATCTGCTAGGAAACCTGAGTTGAAATCCCAGTACCACAAAAAATAAATAAAAGAAATGAGAATTTTTTAAAAATTCAAGAATTCTGGTAATTTACTTATTTAATACCACTAAATCACATTTGAATGCCCTCTGTATGTGGTCCTACAAAGAGGGAATGTCTTGGAACACAGCATCTTAAAACTTTGATGTCCTGTGAAATAATCAGAAATTTTCCAAGATAAGCTTGATATAGGCATTCTGAAGGCAATAGCAAGGCTTCTGTTGAAAATAAAATCTGGTTTTTATGGAGCTAACAGAGATGATTCTTTAGGAATCATACAATTTAAAAACCTGAGGGGCTCTTTCCTCAGGAGGAACATGGACACTAGGCTGGACATGCTGGTGCAGGCTCCTGTAAGCCCAGCACTTGGGAGGCTGAGGCAGAAGAACCCTAAGTTCAAGGCCAGCCTGGGCTACATAGTGAGACGCTGCCCCTGAAAATAAGACTACAAGAAGAAGGCCTATTTGGCCCAGTAACAGTGCAAATTTAAAAAACAAAACAAAAACAAGGGGGCTGGAGGTGTGGCTCAAGTACTAGAGCACCTGCCTAGCAAACACAAGGTTCTGAGTTCAAACCTAGTACGGCAAAAATAAATAAGATAAAAAACTAAAACAAACAAACAAGAAATTATGCCCTATAACATTGGCATGTCTCAACACTCAACAGATGTGAGTCCTGGTCTGTCTCTAACACTTGCTATTTTTAACTCTACCCTGTACAAGAGGAAAACGTATGCAATCATAGTATTCCCTTCCTCCCACACTGTGTTTACCAAACACATCTGGCTTTGGTATACACAGGCTTTGAATAGGTAAAAACGACACACCAATGTGAGACGAGTACCTTCTGAACCATCTGAGCTCCCAGAGCTCCTGACAAAGGCCCAGGCCTCATCTTCTGTGGCAAATTTCTTAAATCTGGCAGCAGGAAACCGATCCACCTGTGCTCTGCATTCATTCCTGCAAAAGATGTCACATCATCTCTCTCCTCCCTCTTTCATTACTTATCTCCTTTTTAATTGGTTAAGATTTTTTTTTTCTTGGTGGACTGGGGTTTGAACTCGGGGCTTCACGCTTGCAAAGCAGGCGCTGTACTGCTTGAGCCACACCTCCAATCCGAGATTATTGTCTTAGGCTGAGAATAGCGTGAAAAAGCACAGGCTACCACTCACACCTAATAGTTTACGGTTTTATCTTACTCAAAAGCCCTTGTCCGGCAATATGCCAGCCAGCCAGTACGCTACATCTCGAAAGCAAAGCAGACCAAAATGTTGGGGCTTTGAAAAACATCTGTTAATCTCTTCTTTACAGCAAAAGGGCCAGCACGTGAGATGCTTCTTCTTCAACCCTGCGGCTGCGGTGCGTAGGGGACGGGGTGCCCCTACAGTATCCCTGATGTCACACCGAGGGAGGGTTCCAGCCGGCCGGGGAGACCCAACTCCCGGGGGCGCCTACTCACCCGCTGCGCGCCTGACCGCGGGAGCCACCCACGAAATCCCGCCCACTCCCGCGCTATTACAGGGACCCGACTCCAACACCAACTTCCGAGGGCTTCTGCTTTTAAAAATGTCAAATTAGGTCTTCAATTTGCTGACTCGGAAGCCTCCAGTAAATTCTGGTTGGCAGTGATTACGTGTCACCTTTGGGGGATCCTTTCATTGCAACAAGGACTACACGGAAGGCCCCAGCGGCCCCCAAACTAGTGCGGCGCTTCGAATACGCCACAGGGAACTCGGGCAGAGTGGAGCCTCGAGAGCCCGCGGGGGCGGGCTGGGCGGCAGCGGGGCGCAGCCGGCCGTCCCACACCGGGGCGACCCACTCACCAGGTCAGGAAGACCCCGGTCCTGCGGCCCCTCCTCACCGCGTAGAACATCGCGGAACTCGCAACAGCCGTGGCCGCAGCGCCCGGCTGCCAGAGCGACTCTACGGCCCAAGAGGACGAGCGAGCGCATCGCTCACTGCCGGCACCGGGCGGCATGCCGGCTGCAGGGGCGACCCAGGCAACGCACACTTCCGGTGGCGGCGCTGGAAGATGACGCACGGATGGGCGTGGCCTGGGCCATTCGCCTCGCGGCCAGCTCAAGTTCCCGGATGTCAGCGCGCCCCTGCGGGTGCCGGCGGCCCTCGTGGCAATGGTGTGCGCACCTTCGCAGGCGCTACCCACCCTGCCTTCTCCTGCCGTTGGGCCAGGGGATGCCAGTGAAAAACGAGTTCATGACGCGCGCAGCATTGTCTTAGCGGTGTATTATTAAATGGAAGCCCGGGCACCTCTGCCGCCGGTAATCCAACTACCTGGGACGCAAGGATCAGGAGGGTCGTGGTTTGAAGCCCCCCACAACCCTTGAGAGATCCTATCTCGAAAATTCCCAACACAAAAACCGGCTGGCGTGATAGCGTGCCTAGCAAGTGTGAGGTCCTGAGTTCAAATCCCATACTGCCAAAAAGAAAAAAAAAGGAGATACGTCGTCCCAGAGGAAGAGTTAGGCCTGTGAATAACAACGCTTGGTGTTTGACTCTCTTAAGCCTTATTCAGGAAGGTGCTTTGCTAGTTTATCCTTTCCTCTTTCTGCACACCTGCTTTGTCTTCCAGCCCTACTTTCAAATTCACGCATGTTCCAAGTCCTGGGAGGCATGGCCGGCTCCCAATCAATACAGAGTTTCCTTCTACTGAAAAGTCTGTTTTTCAAATACCCTCTTGGTGACACCCTTCTCAAATTGTCTCAGTAGAAAATGTCCCCTTGTAGCCCTGGAAACGGACAGCCCTTAACGCAGGCTCTCGGAGACAAGTAGCTTTGTCACTTAGGCCTATTTAACTGATGTGCCCTTAAATGTGAGTGACAAGCAGGGTAGTGCTGTTCTGTTTGTCCTAGAGTTTTGAACTCAGGGCCTCTAGCTTGTTTAGCAGGCTCTCTACTAACTTGACCACACTCCCAGCCCTTTTTGCCTTAGTTATTTTCAATAGCGGTCTCATGAGTCTACTGCTCTGGACCTGTCATCCTCCTACCTCTGCCTTCCATATAGCGGACTACAGGTGGCACCACTGTAACCAGGACTACAAAAGTGAAAAACTGTTTGTTGTATTCAGCTTAGCATGCTGGCTAGGCTACTATTGCTTGTTATTCAAATGACATTTCTCTCTTTCTTCTCTCTCTCTCTCTCTCAGTGCGCCGCCCCCTCCCGCGGCCCCCACATACACACCCTCCAAGACCAAGAGTAAACGTGGTAACCAAAAACATTACAGCTTCAGAGATTTGGGGCAGGTAAAACCAGCGGAATCAGGCCAGCACCTGTTGTGGGACTGAGCCTCTGAGCTCCCTTTTAAAAGGTGAACATTGTCTCTTAGAAGAGGGGCTGACAGACTTGATAGGTTTGCTCCATTTCTTCCTATTCATCTATTCATTCTGACAAATTTCCTTTCTCCAAAATCCTGTTCCTCATTATTTGTTCGCTGACATTGAGTCCAGAGTCCAGCTTTCCAATAACGCCACCAAGTCCAGCTGTATTAGAATTGAGATGGAGTTCTCACTAACTTTTTTGGCCCAGATTGGCCTCCAAACTGCAATCCTCCTGATCTCTGACCTCCCGTTAGTAGCTGGGATTACAGGTGTCCTGCCCAGCATGCCCCAGGCCCTATTACCCTTTAAGGGACCTCAGTTCCTTGCTGGGAAAACTGGTTAGCATTCTGCAAAAACTCGAAACTAGATCCATGTATATCACCTATACCAGATTAACTCAAATGGATCAAGGATCTTAATATCAGACCCCAAAACTCTTAAGTTGATACAAGAAAGAGTAGGAAATACTCTGGAGTAGTAGGTATAGGTAAGAACTTTCTCAATGAAACCCCAGCAGCACAGCAACTAAGAGATAGCATAGATAATGGGACCTCATAAAACTAAAAAGCTTCTGTTCATCAAAAGAAATGGTCTCAAACTGAAGAGAACACCCACAGAGTGGAGAAATATTTGCCAACTATACATCAGACAAAGGACTGATAACCAGAATATACAGGGAACTTAAAAAACTAAATTCTCCCAAAACTAATGAACCAATAAAGAAATGGGCAAGTGAACTAAAACAGAACTTTCTCAAAAGAAGAAATTCAAATGGCAAAAACACATGAAAAAATGCTCACCATCTCTAGCAATAAAGGAAATGCAAATTAAAACCACACTAAGATTCCACCTCACCCCTGTTAGAATAGCCATCATCAGCAACACCACCACAACAGGTGTTGGCGAGGATGCGGGAAAAAGGAACCCTCTTACACTGTTTGGTGGGAATGTAGACTAGTAACAACCACTCTGGAAAAAATTTGGAGGCTACTTAAAAAAGCTGACATCGATCTACCATTTGATCCAGCAATACCACTCTTGGGGATATACCAAAAGACTGTTACTCCAGAGGCACCTGCACATCCATGTTTATTGCGGCACTATTCACAATAGCCAAGTTATGGAAACAGCCAAGATGCCCCACACTGACGAATGGATTAAGAAAATGTGGTATCTATACACAATGGAATTTTATGCAGCCATGAAGAAGAACGAAATGTTATCATTCGCTGGTAAATGGATGGAATTGGAGAACATCATTCTGAGTGAGGTTAGCCTGGCTCAAAAGACCAAAAATCGTATGTTCTCCCTCATATGTGGACATTAGATCAAGGGCAAACACAACAAGGGGATTGGACTATGAGCACATGATAAAAGCGAGAGCACACAAGGGAGGGGTGAGGATAGGTAAGACACCTAAAAAACTAGCTAGCATTTGTTGCCCTTAACACAGAGAAACTAAAGCAGATACCTTAAAGCAACTGAGGCCAATAGGAAAAGTGGACCAGGAACTAGAGAAAAGGTGAGATCAAAAAGAATTAACCTAGAAGGTAACACCCACGCACAGGAAATCAATGTGAGTCAATGCCCTGTATAGCTATCCTTATCTCAACCAGCAAAAACCCTTGGTCCTTCCTATTATTGCTTATACTCTCTCTTCAACAAAATTAGAAATAAGGGCAAAATAGTTTCTGCTGGGTATTGAGGGGGGAGAGGGAGGGGGTGGAGTGGGTGGTAAGGGAGGGTGTGGGGGCAGGGGGGAGAAATGAACCAAGCCTTGTATGCACATATGAATAATAAAAGAAAAATGAAAAAAAAAAGACCTCAGTTTCCTCACTGGAAAAATGGGGTTAAGGTGTCTGGTGCACCACAAACACAAAACTGCTGTGTAGGTCAAGTGGAGGGGCAATGACAACTCCCTGGAAAGTAGCATGATGGAAACGCAGGGGCAAATGGGAACCATTTCTCACCCAGTGCCTCTGTTCCCCTGCCCCTGGACTCTGAAGTCCACATGCCCTACCTTCAAGTTCCAGCTCTAGGATTCACCACCTCTGTGACTCTGGTGAGTTGTTTAAAGTCTCTTTATTTCTGTGAAAAATGGAGACCACGACCCATGTTTGGTGGCATGAATATCGGCTAAGATAGGGTTTGTGCCAGCCCTCACCCCTCACATTGCCTGACGCTCTAGCACGGCCTCCATACCGCACTCATTTTTTGTCATTTTACTGCTTCACAAAATTAATGGCAGTTCGGTGTCCAACAAAAGCCTTCCCCATCCCCACCACCATGCTGGAGAGCAAATCAGAACCTCACACATAGCTAGGCAAGCACTGCCTCTAAGCTAAGTCCCCTGCCCTGAATGTGTTGCTTTGATGACAGTATTGAAGATGAGCAAATCATTATATGCCAATCATTTGTATTATTGGTATACATAAACGTTGTATTTGTAATCAACATATAATTTGCAAGTATTTCTGCACCTTACTAACATATGAGCAGTTACCTTCCATCCGCCTGGCAGGCTCTGTTGCCTGAAGGGCATGAGCGCCCTTGAAACTGTGTGAATAGCCTGTGACCTCGCTTCTGCCAAGCACAGGCACACAAGAACTTCACCTCTATCCCAGCTTGCATGTTCGTTTCACTTGCACTGGCCAGTAGGTAATAGAAACAATGACAGCCCTGTGCACTAAGGGAGGAGAGAGAAAGGACTTTCTGTGAGTTTATCAATTCTGGACCAGACCGACAGGTCTGTAAATTCATCTCCCATGCAAAGAAGGGAGAGATTGAATTTGAAGTTCATCCGCCCTCTGCGTTTTCTACGTCTCTGATGCACTCCAGCACGGGGTCTTGCTTATGTACTTGTACACAACATAGCACTTGGTTTAACAAGTAGCAGGTCTTGGGTTTTAACTGTCCATCTCCCAGCCCAGCAGTTCTGTCTTGGTCCAGCTGCAGTGAGTGCCCTGCTGCTGTGGGTTCCCAGCTTACCTGGCTGACTCCTTGTTTCCCAGTGTGGTTCCTAGAAAAGTACCAGCAGGGAGCTAGTTAGAAATGTAAGGTTTTGGGGGCCAGGGGGTGTGGCTCAAGTGGTAGAGCACCTGCCTGGCCAGCACAAGTTCAAACCCCAGTGCCACCAAAAAAAAGAAAGAAGAAAAGAAATACAAGGTATTGTGCCTCCTGCAGTAGATTGAGGGTTATTATCCCCTCAAAAATGCCTATCTGTCCTCCAAAGTGATGGTGTGACTGGCTCCACATTCAGGATAAATGCCCCTTCTGCTAAGCGAGGACACAGAAGGAAGGCTCTGTCCAGGTCATTCACAGGTGCTTTTACTTTTTGATGATAAAATCTCAGTTCTAGAAATTTATCCTGCCGTTGTTTTTCCAAAAGCATGAAAATTACATGCATAGGTTTTTTTCATTGAACTATTGTTTGTAATTACACCATTGGATATGACTTGACTACATGTAGACATATAGTCTACATATAGTCTACAGATGAGGTTTGGATAAAAGCTAGACTAAGCATCCAATGGTATTCTACAAATCCAATCATTACATTTTGAATTTAAGTAATTGTAGAATGTACATTACTATTGAATTATTATCATTTTGAGCTTATTTTCTCACACTGACAAAAAAGAAAGTATTTT